ATTTTAAATGATATTTTGTCTTTATTTTATGATGACCTGCAATTTTTGAAACTGGGTAACCTCTGTCTGTGAGCTTCTAGTCAGTTTTCAATAGTTAGGACTGCATTTTCAGCTGCTTTCCGGAGCACGAGTCTGCTGCGGTACAAGGGTCGTTCAAAGTGCTGTTAGTCTCGCATGGTTTTATCCTTCAAAAATTTTAGCCACCGTTTTTATTAGATGACCATCATGTTGTACTCATCCTCGCCGACACTTTGCCATGTGTCATTTCCGACCTAACCATTCCCATTACTCGTGAAGCAGAGAGTTTCTCAGCCGACCCGAGTACGCGACCTCCATTTTCATGCCTGATCCATGGTCAGAGGTGAACCCTTTTTGTGAGCTCATGAAGGGTCGAATGCGCTTGAAATTAATGAAGCTACTTGAGGAAGGTTGTTACCAATGCCCATGCAAAATTTCGACTGTTAATTTCATGTTGATTCAGAATCATTGACAAAAAAGCATGGCTGGTACCTGTAAGCGAACTTTTGAGACACCCTGTACTTTCATTTGCCACAGGTCTATGACTAGCCATCGCCAGAAACCTAGTAGCTCCTGATGGTATTGAGTCGGTTTGACTCCTCCCTGCCTCAGGAGTGGAGTCTAACCGCCGCCATTTTTCCGTTTCAAACGCTGATGCGACTGCCGGCTTCCCATCTGTCGAAACAAGTCTCGCCGGGATGGCGGCGTCGCTCCACACTGTGTCAATTCCCATCGCGACCATTTCTGAGATGAATAGCATCGGTCCAGAAACTTCGGGACGAGCTCATCTCTGCGGGACCCCACTGACCACGGGCACAAATAGCTTCACATCCAAAAACCCCGCTGAGGAGACTAGCCGGCCACTGAAGTGCCGTGTGAAAGGCAATCAGCAGGCTGATAGGCACACAAATCGAACAGCTTTCAAAAGTTCACCATATACCTGGTACACAAAATGCCGTTTTTGGGTTGGAGTATAGCCTGAAATTCAAAGCAAAAAGAGGGTTATTGCTTTTACCGCTAGTAGCTGTGGAACATATTTTTTCTTCAAAAACTTACGGCGCCAATTAGCAACAAACACGAAGCGCTAGTAATCTGTGTTGTTTTATCTGTACATACAATATATAAAATACATACAATAGTATACCTGTCTGTCCATTTGCACATCGGTATAGGTACGGCTCTCCAGCAAAAGAGTGGTTTGTTACCTTATGTGCTTTTGGTGTAATAACTTTGAATGACAGAGAGTAGAGACACTCCTGTAAAATGACTCAATAGAAATGAGAAGAGGGTTCGTGCACACTTTTCGGCAATGGTTTTCAACAGCCATTAGACGTATTCATCAATGCAGATCGCTTATTGTGATATTGGCAACCAACCACTAAATACCTGGAGGGCCGTACATCGTCCGCAAATTTATGCATGAATGGCTAAACTGGAGCACAACACAAACCCTGCATTACCCACGAGTGGCAGGTTGCTGGGGGGGGGGGGGGGCGAGGGGGCGTTAAGCGCCCCACTTTTTCGCCGCGCCATAGCTTGAAAACGGTGCAGGCTCGCCAGATTTTGAGTATTTGTAGCTGGAATTAATTGAAGTTAATTGCGACAAAATTAAAAAAATTCGTTCGGTAATTATTTGAGAGATTGAGCTTTTAGTGACGTCACGATTTCTGAGTTTTCGACCACGAACAGCTTTTGGTCAAAAAAGTGATATACAATCACAGAACAGACGTACAGGCAGGCGGTAAACGTCATTATACTGCCAATACCATGAACAATTAAACGCCACATGTAAATGTTCGTCAAACATGACTCGTGCACACAACCATTCGATGACAACATCGAAACAGTATAACCAGAGATTACCCAAAAGAACGACAGGCAGCGAGTGTGACATGCTGTATGTAATATGATTAGTTTTCGGGACTGATATTTAACAAAAAGTGATCGATTCAGTGTGTCATGCTATCGCCGATGATCGGAATAGTTTAAGCAGCATTTAGAGAAATTCACCGAGCGCGAATCACAATTCTGTGGAGCTATGCAATGAAATCACAACTATGCATTGATAAGTTCATGAATCAATGAAAATGACTTCCAAATATCGCGGGGCTCATTTCTGCTAGGTATGTCTTATGTAATATAATCGCCCTCACCCTGTCCCTCGACCCTCACCCTCCTCCCCCCTCCCCCCGCTCAGCAACCTTGACGGCCTGAGCAGCCATCGGCCATAAGTCCCCCAACCTCAAGTTTAAATCTGCCAGTGTATTACAAACGCAACATTCAATAATTAAATTAAATGCATTGCGGGCTTATGAAATAGTTGCTGAGGTATGGAAGAGAGATTACACCTTTTAACGCCCAATTTAGGCGGCAGTGCATACATTTTGGTAACAGTGCAGGCGATTTCGACACTCTATGCCGAACTGTCGAAATCGGTTGGACTTTTACTGAACTATGTGCATTTTGCCTGTATTCGGCCGTACTAAGGTGAAGCTGGCTAGTTTTGAAATGGCCCGAGTTTTGAAATGGCCGTGAGGAAAAAAGTGGGTTGTATTGATACTGCCCGGTCGGTATCCTATATAACTACCCGGCTCGTATCTACAGACCGGCGAGGCATTAATACTGACCAAGATGACGGTATCAATACGGTCAGTATTAGAGGAAGGGACCTTCAAAAAAGTCAATGAATTGGCATGAAAGTGATATCGCTCGGTTCAGAAAGAGCAAAAACGAATATATACCAAATTTCACCGAAAAATCTTCACTGGTTTTCAAGATGTTTACTTGAAAAAAGTCATCAAGGTTTACAAGACTTTTACTTTTGTTTACTTTTTGGGATCTCCGCTGTTCCTAGCGACTTTTTTGGAAACAATAGTTTGGCAGCTGAAAGTGAGGCACTTGTTGAGCGCAAAGCAGCATATATGTACAGGGGCCCGGGAACGATTTTCAAGTTGGGGGGGGGGGGGCGAGCCCAAAATACCTGACATGATGCATATGAAACAGTGGCGTAGCTAGGGGCCTAAGGGGATACGTACCCCCCCCTCCCATCGGGTTCAAAGGGACTCTCGGGTCCGAGGGGCCCTGCGGCGCCAGTTGACCGCTGAGGGTTAACGATGGCCATATTTCGACTCAGAAGGGCCCCATGGAGCTCGTTAGAGCACCTCATGAGCCCTAAATAACCACACTAAGATCTCCATAAGGGCCCCACGCCGGCTTCTGAGGGCCTCTTGCGGCTTTTAAGGGCCCATCGGTGGTCTCCAAAGGACCGTTACTGGCCTCTGAGAGTTCTTACCAGCCTATGAGGGGCCAGTTCTAGGGGCATGTCCCGCCTGTGATGGTCCCACACTTATTTTTCTGAGGGCCCCATAACGGCAACTGTGGGGACCCTCATCGGCGCCTATGAGGGCCCACACCGGTGTCTCTGAGGGTTTCACACCCTCAACTCTGAGTGCCTACACCACTGCCTATTAAAGCCCTATATCGGCGGCTCTGAGAACCCAACGGCTAACACCTGCGCATCTAAAGGTCACCCACGGATGACTTTTGAGGACCCCACACCAGTGACTCTGAGGGCCCCACTGGCGTCTGACACTGTCAGACTGACAGTACCATTCTGGTCTCTAAGGACCCCACAGGACTTCTTCTGCCGGCCTGAGGGCCCCTTGCCGGTCACTGAGAGCCCCCTGCCGGCCTGTAGAGGGTCTGCGTTAGCAGCTCTATGTAAAGGCCCCACACCCGTCTGTAACGGCTCCATACCAGCGTCTATGAGGGCCCACAGCAACGCCTGTAAGGACCCTCACCGGCGCCTCCGAGAGAATCACACTAGCACCTCGGCTCTGAGGCCCCACACGGGCACCTTCATGACGGCCCCACACCAGTGCCTCTAAAGGCCCCTTACCGGCGGCTCTGAGGGGGCCCTACGCCGCTGATTCTGAGGGTGCTACTGATAACCGACGACACCGCCCTTAGTGTCGCTGAGCTTTATTCCCATACCGGCCTTCCGAGGGCGCCACGTCAGTGCACCCATTGCCCCACACCCCTTCCTCACATCCAGAGCGGATAAACTGTGTTACACATACCTACATTACATATAGCAATGATTTTACCACCGTTGTACGTTAAATATTTCTCAAAGTTGACCCAAAATGGTCCAGTATAAAATCTGGCCTGCCAAACTTATGGCCAAGGTCAGACCCAAATCAAAGCGGGATGACCATGGAGGGATGACAATATGTTGTCAAATCGATAGTCGATACTGTATCAGCAGAAACAATTCAGATGGCAAGGACTTAATGCCGTGTGTTAATGTTTAGATGTATAAAGCAAACAAGAAGGAAAGAAGTCCGCAAAAGGGAGGAAAGATCCTTTCTCGCTGCCTCAATGTTGAGGGGGCGCCGCCCCCTCAGCTCTCAAGTTGGGGGGGGCAAGCGCCCCCGCTGCCCCCCTGTTCCCGGGTCTATGTATATGTACCAGTTTTGTCACCCTTTTTTTGTACCACCGCGTGCTACCAAACGTTTTAGCAAAATATTTAAAACTTCGTTAGATCTGCGCTGATGTCACACATTCAGAGGGGGCATTCTAATGCATTAGCCCCTCTGAATCCAAGGTGCTGCAACTTTGAAATTATATATTTTCGACTTGAGGCATTGCTCGATGTTGTGAGTGCTCAAACCGGTAAGTGCATGTCAGGGAACCAATTTTGGCTATCTCATCCCAAAACTTATGTTAAGGTGGGATGGTCACTTTAGTACGGGCCGAGTTTTCAAACGGGCCGTAACACATACACGACGACGACAGGTTTTATCAGCAGAGTCCCTCCCAAGGACACAGCAGTAATCTCTGACTTCTAACAGGCTGTCTGTTTTTATCATGAGGCGGCAGCCTGCACAGCATTCACCACATTAGGCTTGCACCGGCCGTCCCGGTGCCACCGCGGTGGCTCTTCTGCATATCTCGGTCGCTGTTCAGTGAGTGGTGAACCGGGCGCCAGCGAGGACACCAGGAGGCACAGGTGAGGAAGCTCAGAGGTGGGTGGCGCAGCGCCGCTTTCTTGGCCTGGCCTGGACGGTCTGCGAAGGTGGCCCATTCGTTTATGGCTGGAGAGGCAAAATGTGCATCGTATTTTTCTGCTTTAACTCTCGCCCGCACATGGGGGGGGGGGGGGTTGCCACCCCCCCAGGTAGTCTTTCTGCTTTGCACTCAACATTTTTAGAGCTAGAAGGCTGATTTTTCGTATAGCTGCTCCTCTATCCTTTCTTGATGTCCACTGAAAATTTCAAGTTTCTGTGATTTTTGGTTTCGGAGATATGACCTTGTTTTTCAGGTCATGTCATGACCCAAATGGCCAATTCTCAACATCTTGCGTTTGCCATGGGCCTTGTGAGCTTTTGACACCCTGATTTCGGCCTTTTTTGCCAGTCTTACCTCCCACCTATCATGGAACATGTTGTTCGACGATGTACAGGGGTCAAGGTCAGGGTCAAGGTCAACCTAGGTCATCTAAGATAATAGCGTTTTAGGCAAGCTGAATTGACTTTTTGTGAATTTTTTGACTGCATTTTTGGTAAAAGCTTCTCAGATCATCATTTCATGTCATATGGACCCAAAAACAATCGGTGCACACATCAGTATACACACAGACACACACAGACATACAAACACATATAATTGACCTTGACCTAACTTGACCTGAAATGACCTCAGCAGCAAAATTCTGGTCGGGTAGTGTGACAAAGAGGTTCTAGTTGGCTTGGCACCAGAAAACAGCATCGTCATCGGTATTTGATAAGCAGCGCACTTGATATCCAACGGTGACCCAAAACAGCAACATTTTTTAGTTTGACCTCACCTGGAAGGTCAATGACTGACCTGTGAAGGTAAAACTGGGTATCATTGGATTCGTCTCTTCCCAAAGAATCTTTTTGGTCTTACCGCTAAGCTCTATCTCCAACAGGAACGAAATGGCGCGGGGGGTGGCAACCACCCCCCCCCCCCATGTGCGTTCTAGGATGGGAAAATGGCATGTGCGGGCGAGGGTTAATTATAATTCACGATATAGTCTTTCTGCTTACGAGCATGCTCGACAAATTATATCTTTAACATTTATAATGTATTATTATTAGTTACGCTAATATACCTCTTTATCTTTAAGAATTATATGTAAACTGAACCGCAATGACCGCTGCCGTAGGTTAACAGGAATTGATAACCAATTTTAAGGTGCTAGGTCAACCAGTGACCTCTGAGGTCAGGTCAAGTGCCTTATGGTACGGCTCCGTTTTTGGTGAATAACTTCGCCAAAAACGGCCGCAGAGACGCGATTTTGGCAGCATCGTGTTTGCCTCGCTCAGGCGCGTCGAATGATATATACTTTTTGTTTGGGTGAGGTCAATTTAGGGTGTTGACCTCGGGTCACGGTCAGGTCACGAACTTGGTTGAAGGAGGTCATATCACATGTCATTCGATTCGGCAGATCTTCCTGAGTCCATTGGTGGCTTTCCCGACTCGCTGGCTCAATTTGATCGGAAGTAATTGACGAAAAACTAATATGAGCCTAATGACGTCATAAATGACGTCACGCAAGGTCATCATTGCAAAAGTGACGCATCGAACCTTGCAAAGAGTGCGTGAAATCACGATTCTGTGTGCTTGAGATAGTTGAAGATCGTTCCCGGCGCCAGAATAGCAGTTTTCATGTTTCCCCATTGACTTATAATGCCAATGGTGAGGTCACGAAGATGACCTGACCTCATATGACCTTTAGGGAAAATCTGAGATATACAAGTTGTGAGACACTCAATGGTTACTAGGTCTTGTAGGTTTCATTTCCCTGTGAAAGATCATCTGGCAGTGAGGGCGTTGCGAAGTTGTGATATCTGAAGACCGTGCAGAGGTTCACTTGACGTCATAGGTCAGTGACTTGACCTGACCGAAAATGCGGTTGGTGTCCAAAGATCTGGCTTGAATCAAAGTTCAGGTATGCCAAGTCTTAGCTCTCTATCGCCGGCGTGTTCGGAGCTATCGCAAAAAAAAACTACGGGGATCGGCATCCGCCCCACCCCCTCGGCCCGCGAGGGTTAACCCATCCAATGTCAATGAAAACGAATCGTCAATTCATAAGCGTTGGAAGCGGGCATGCTATGAAAAAATTAGCGAGCTATGAGTCTCATCGCGGCCACAGACTTCTCAGAGATGACTGTGCTCGGCCCCTGTTTTTATGCTGATTACGGAGCGAGCGAAGCGAGCGGAGTCTTACGTAGAATAACGGAAATTTCTGAGTATGAGCGGCCGGCCGGCCGGCCGGCCGGCCGGCCGTGGTCACGCTTTTGCGAGGCTTATATCTCAGCAACCACTTGACCGATTTACATGCGGTAATTTTTGTGGGGTAGCTTCATTCCTTCTACCAAGTATTGGACTATTCCCGATGCATGTGGGTGACCCCTTATGCACGTGCCACGTGCAAAACGAAGAGGTGTCACTTTTGTAATTGTTGCAATATCTCGGTAACTACTCGGCCGATTGCGCTGAAAGTTGGCATGTAGGTAGGCACCCACTAGGCACTGCATATCCATGTGCCAGAGTTGGGGTGCTGCTGCACGTGCGCACGTGCAGGGGTCGTTTCCAGATCTCGAGAACGGCTGGACCGATGGCGCTCAAATTTGGTACATGGTTAGGGACCGGTTAGTAGGGTGCCGTGCAAAAGTCAGTTGGGACCCATTTTGCACGTGCGCACGTGCAGGGTGCCGCTTCCAGATCTCGAGAACGGCTGGGCCGATTGTGCTCAAATTTGGCACATCGCTAGAGACCGGTTAGTAGGGTGCCGTGCACAAGTCAGCTGGAGGTACCCCCTCGAAATTTCGCACGTGCAAGGCTCACCCTCTCGCTCGCTCCGTTAGTCGCCCCAAAAGGCGCTATACTGGTAATAGGATTACATGACTGACTGACAATTGAATCTAAACTTGATGAGAAAAATGACAGTTATGCATAAAAACATATCAACTGACGAAGGAAGAACATTTGCTTCAAATTAAAATGGATTCGAATTAGAAAGACAGTGGGGCATGGAGAACACATACCTGCTCACAAATGTGAGCTTTTAATACATTATTATGTATATCCATAAAAGCGTTTTTGTTGAATATCTTCTTATCTGTTGATTGTTATTGATGCGGTCACTAGTCTAACATCTCCCAGCCGCCTTAAACGGCAGCGGGACGTGCAGTGAGAGTCATGGCCGCCGACATGACTTCGTCAAGGCCACTGAGCGCGCGACACAGCGGCCTGCTAGTTACCGGGCGGGGCACATCGCGCTCAGTACCGACCAGACGGGCACGTAGCAATTGGCATACCGATTACTGTACCAGCAAAACACTCTGATAGACGACTATCTGAGAGTCCGTGGCACCGACATATAGCAAATAGTTTTTCACTGCTTCTAACCAGGCAGCAGGTTATCGAATTTAACCCTCGCCGGCCGAGGGGGGGGGGGGGGGCGGGTGCCGCCCCCCCATAGGGTCTTTTTCGCGATAGCTCTAAACATGCTGGCGATAGAGAGCTGAGAATTAGCATATTTGACCTTTGATTCAAGCCGGATCTTTTGACACCAACCGCATTTTCCGGTCAGGTCAGGTCACTGACCTATGACGTCAAAAGTGAACCTCTGCATGGTCTTCTGATGTCGCAACTTCGCAACGCCCTCACTGCTAGAGGAGCTTTCACAGGGAGATGAAACTTGCAGGATCTAGTATCCATTACGAGTATCACAGCTTGTATATCTCGGATTTTTCCTAAACGTCATATGACCTATGACGTCAAAAGTGAACCTCTGCATGGTCTTCTGATGTCGCAACTTCGCAACGCCCTCACTGCCAGAGGAGCTTTCACAGGGAGATGAAACTTGCAGGATCTAGTATCCATTACGAGTATCACAGCTTGTATATCTCGGATTTTTCCTAAACGTCATATGAGGCCAGGTCATTTTCGTGACCTCACCATTATACATAAGTCACTGGGGAAAAATGAAAACTGCTTTTTTTGGCGCCGGGAACGATCTCCAACTATCTCATGCACACAGAATCGTGATTTCATGCACTCCTTGCAAGGTTAGATGCGTCACGTTTGCAATGTTGACCTTGCGTGACGTCATTTATGACGTCATTAGGGTCATATTAGTTTTTCGTCAATAACGCGTAGGCTGCAGTGTGTCTCTTTTTTAGCATGTGTGTTTGTGTGTGTCTTTATGACGTGAAGGGTTTTTATGGACAGTGTGGTCTGGGATAAAGTTTTATCTGTCTGTCTGTCTGTCTTAACTCCCGATCAAATTGAGCTAGCGAGTTGGGAAAGCCGCCAATGTGGACTCAGGAAGACCTGCCAAATCGAATGATATGCATTATGACCTCCTTCGACCAATTTCGTGACCTGGGGGGGGGGGTCGCTGACCTGACCGCGACCAACAAAATCAACACCCTAAGCTGACCTCACCCAAACAAATAGTATATAATTCGACGCGCCTGAGCGAGACGAACACGGTGCTGCCAAAATCGCGGCTCTGCGGCCGTATTTTGCGAAGTTATTCATCAAAAAACGGAACCGTACCTTGGGGCACTTGACCTGAACTCAGAGGTCACCGGTTGACCTAGGACCTTAAAATCGGGTATCAATCTGAGATGACCTCAGGGGCTTATACGGGGGTCACGGACACCATTTTCATGTTCAGAGTGTCTAGGTTACTTGTAATTCAGTGTTTGGGAGTATTTATAATGGTTTTCGTCCAAAAGCGGCGCATTTCAGTTTTCTCCCTTTGACTTACCTATAATGGGGAGGTCGCAAAATTGACCTGACCTTAGGTCATCGATATCAAAATTCTGAGGGATACATTTTGTACATGCTATTGCTCTTAGCAATCGTTGAAAGTTTCAAAGCGTCGGTCACTCAGTGTAGCTATGGCAGACATTGAAACTTTTGATGAGGTGAGGTCACTTCAAGTGACTTGTTGACCTGACCTTGAATGACCTTGGTCTGAAATTTTCACAGCATTTGTAGAATTGATGCATGATAAGATGTGCCTAAAACGGCGGCGCTTTGAGATATTCGCGAAAAACAGAGGGGGGGGGGGGTGTTCAAACACCTCCCACCAGGGTGCGGGTTGATAAATTAATAGCTAGGCCTGGCCTAATGGAAAACGAGCTCATTGTTAACAAATCAATGCGATCTTTTAGAAATAATCCAGCTTTAAGCGCTTACTTCGTTTTCAGAATACATAGTGGGACGAAGAAGCACAAATTGAGGATGGCCGGTGATGATGCTGACGGAAGAAACAAATCAGAGGACACCAAACGAGGACTGCTTCTGCAGGGCCCAGTTTCACCAAGCTCTGTTTGGGGTAGTTTCGGCGAAACTACCCCAAACCAGTTTCACCAAATGGGGTAGGTTCTGATTGGCCACTTCCAAACTACCCCATGGAGTAGTTCTTATTTTACCCCAAATTTGCCATGCAAACAGATGCTCACGGTCCGTGAGCAACTGAACAAGCCAATCAATCAGCTGATTATCGTCGGTTCTACCCCAAATATCCGACCAAAATTACGGCAGACATTCGTGGGGTAATCTGTGAATATGATACCGATTGTGAGCAAGAATTGACAGTAAAATAGTAATAAGAACATAATTTATTGAAGTCCAATCACCTGTCACGTTTGAGTACGCATTATTCATAGCATACCTACTTCAAATTTCATCCAAGTATTTTACTGCATGTAGCCTGCGCCACCATGCTTGTGATCTACAACACCAAAAGAAGCATTATACATAGATGTCGCCCATAGCTGAATGCCAGGAATTTTACTTTTTTAACTATTAAAGGTTTTCTTCAACAGTGACCTTGAATACCGGATGAGGAAGCCTTGAAATATAAACAATAAAAATGCACATTTTTCACGGTGGTTACATGCTGCGTCTTGTTGAAATGATCCAAGTACTTGTGTGATCTATTCAAATTATCATTTGAGCCTTGATTTGAGGCATCTATGTATTACGGTCAATGTGCAAATATCCAGCAAATGTCAAGACGCTAACAACTGAAATCAATATAAAATGCCGTACCTAAATCAGCAAGAGGATGTGTCGTGCATACCTAGGTAATTCTCATTAGAAATAAAAAGCATATGGTGCACGAAATTCGTAAGAAGCAGTTGTTAACAATACCAGGCCAAGTGGATTCGATACTTTCCATATCTATTTTTTTTTTGTCGCTGTTGTGCATATCTCAATTAAAGGGACTATCCCACCTTTAACATGGGGTTTGAGTTGAGATAGCCAAGTTTGCGGCGAGGTTCAGAAACCACTATCTATCTAGGTTGCAACCCCCGCGGCCTCTTGGTGTTGAAGAAATTCGTTCCCTTCATTTGAAAATGGGCCTTGTGCAAGGCCCTATCTTCAACATGGAGCGACCGTTAGTGTGACGTCACCTCGTTTAGTCATTCTGATTTAAATGGGTTTTTTCGTTGAAAAATCGCTTAAAACTTGGTCTGAACTTTGTTGTGGTGCCTACAGAGTAAAAAGAATCAGCTTTATGACAGTAATGTGGCCTGGGGAAGGAGGTAATTTTGGGCTGTGACGTCACATATTTAAAAGTTTGTGTTTGGAATATGGGAAGCCTAAGATGTTTAATGAAAAATAAATGCCAGAACCGTGTTCCTGGTCATCCAATCTATAAAGTCGGGCACAATTTAACTGGTTTTAACAACATTTTAGAAGGTGGGATAGTCCCTTTAAGTTGCGTTATGTGCCGTGCATCTGTAATGTATGTATTTTGTAATGCACACTAGAAATAAAAAGCATCTGGTGCAAAAGATTCGTAGTTAAAAGTCGTCAAAAATACCAAGCAAGGTGTATTCGATACTAAAACATGCACTAATTTACTAAAACATTCTAATTATAAAACACTAAACATCTAATCTAATTTAACATCTAATCTAATCTTAAATATCTAATCTAAACATCTAATCTAAGCATCTAATTTACTAAAACACTAATTAATATTAAAATATTCGATACTATTCGATATTAAAACTAGATAAATAGATATTCGATAATGTAACCTATCCATCAAGATTCGCGGTTGTGCATTGCATTCCTTTCTCAATAAAGTTGTGAATCTTGGAAACTGAGGTGCCATGGTGCCATCGTTACCAAGGTGATTGGTAGACAAATACAAGAAGCCAAATCGAATGTGTTCTTCATTTCACGCCGTCGTGAAATGAAATTCTCGACCAATCAAAACGTTCCGTTGTTTTGCTGATGCTGCTTGCTTAGCAAACATTCACAAGAGATGCCGAAACTACCCCATGGGGGTAGTTTGAGCTGGTGAAACTGGATTCTATCCCATGGGGTAGAATGGAAATCTACCCCATGCCGAAATTACCCCACTTGGTGAAACTGGGCCCAGGTGGGATCATTCGGCCATTTCATGTACCTAATCTATTAGACTCAATGTTATCTAATCAATACTTACTGTATGTATTGTATTGCATTGCATTTTACTGTACTGCATTGTACACCAGCTCATCCGCCATTATGACTGCTGATTAAGTTGAGCTCGAGTCATGAGCCAGCGATTTATAATCCTCTGTAGGTGATTATTCTGCTCCTCTGCCGACGGGTGGTGACCGCTCTGTTCCCCTGTTTGCCTGTCGGTGACCGCTCTGTTCCCCTGTCGGTGACCGCTCTGTTCGCCTGCCGGTGACCGTTCTGTACCCCTGTCGGTGACCACTCTGTTCCCCTGTCGCTGACTGCCAGTGGCGGATCCAGGGGGGGGGGGATGGGCATTTGCCCCTCCCAAACGGCATAATTTTAACATTACGCCTATGGACGAGGCATGGAAAGAATCGATAAATTGTTATGGTTTGCCCCCCAAAAAACTCTGAGCTGGATCCGCCTCTGCTGACTGCTATGTTCCTCTGTAGTTGACCGCTCTGTTCTCCTCTGCGGCAGGTGTTGACTGCTCTGAGTCTGTTCCCCCGTTCCCCTGTCGATGACCGCCCTGTTCTACCTCCACTGTCGGCAGGCTGTGACCGCCCTGTTCTACCTCCACTGTCGGCAGGCTGTGACCGCCCTGTTCTACCTCCACTGTCGGCAGGCTGTGACCGCCCTGTTCTACCTCCACTGTCGGCAGTTAGTGACCGCTCTGTGTTTTTCTGTCGGCAGTTGGTGACCGCTCTGTGTTTCTCTGTCGGCAGGTGGTGACCGCTCTGTGTTTCTCTGTCGGCAGGCTGTGACCGCTCTGTGTTTTTCTGTCGGCAGGCTGTGAGTGACCGCTCTGTGTTTCTCTGTCGGCAGGTGGTGACCGCTCTGTGTTTCTCTGTCGGCAGGCTGTGACCGCTCTGTGTTTTTCTGTCGGCAGGTTGTGAGTGACCGCTCTGTGTTTCTCTGTCGGCAGGTTGTGACCGCTCTGTGTTTTTCTGTCGGCAGGCTGTGACCGCTCTGGGTTTTTCTGTCGGCAGGTTGTGAGTGACCGCTCTGTGTTTCTCTGTCGGCAGGTGGTGACCGCTCTATGTTTCTCTGTCGGCAGGTGGTGACCGCTCTGTGTTTTCTGTCGGCAGATTGTGACCGCTCTGTGTTTCTCTGTCGGCAGGTGGTGACCGCTCTGTGTTTCTCTGTCGGCAGGTGGCGACCGCTCTGGCTCTCTCCGTGGTCGGCTTCAATATCGGCGCGTGCATGTCCTTTTCTGGCATATTCGCCGAGCAGATGACATCTGCTGACGCGCGACCCGCACTGAGCCGGTCGCAGATCTCCTGGGTGGCCTCTGCGTACGCCATCGGCAACATCCCGGGCTTCCTGCTGTCCAGCTACGCCAACCCGCGGCTGGGCACCATCCGCCTCGTGCAGCTGTGCGCCCCGGTCCTGGCCGGCGGCTGGCTGCTGCTGGCGCTCGGCAACAGCTTCTGGACAATGCTGGCCGGCCGCGCGCTGACCGGTATCGGCGTGGGGACCGCCTTCGGACCCACCATCACACATATCGGTGAAATATCGTCTGTCAACGTTCGCGGAGCACTCTCAGTGTTCTTGAACGTGATGATTAGTGCCGGTATGCTCGCCATTTTCTTATGCGGATGGCAGCTTGACTGGCGACATACATGTCTAGTTGTGGGCATCGGACCTGTCGTTGTGATGTTTCTGGTCACACTCATGCTTCCTCGCTCCGCCAAATGGCTCATCTCAAAAGGGCATCCGGTGGAGGAGGCACAACGCTCGCTCCGTTTTTACCATGGTCATGATTACGATGTGGATAAGGAAATCCGTTCTATTAGAGATTCGCTCGGAGATCAGCACAAGTGTGACGCGTCGCTACTCGACGTTTTGAAATTACTGAAACACAGACGATACTCGCAGCCATTCTGCATTGTTCTTGTATCGTTTATATTTTTCATGAGCTCTGGTGGATTCACAACAGCCGCCTTTGCTCCAGTGGTGTTCAAACAGGTCGGGGCGATCGATAACCCGTACATGGGCTCAATCTTTGTGGGTGTCCTAAGAGTGACCGCCTCTGTCCTGACCAGCCCCGTGATGTCCAAATGCGAGCGGAGTACCCTGATGATGACGAACGGCGCTGTCGGCGGCGCGGCCTGTGTCGTGGCCGGCTGTTTCCTGTTCTACAGCGCCGCGCTGGCCGACTACGCCTGGGTGTCTCTGGTGTCGATTCTGGTGATCGTGGGCGCCATGTCGTTCGGCATCGGCGTCCTCACCAATGTGTTGCTGGCCGAGCTGCTGCCCAACGCGGTGCGCGCCGAGCTCGGGGGCATAGTGCTGCTGCTGGCGGCCGTGGTCAACTTTGGCATGCTGTACGCCTTCCCAGCGCTGATCGCTCTGCTCGGTATGCCTGGAGTGTACTGGTTCTTTGCAGCCATGCACGTGGCTATGCTCGTTTTTGCTAAATTTTTCGTGCCTCAAACACGTGGAAAGACCATTGAAGAGATTCAAAAGATGTTTGAGAAAGATGATGATGTTGGCCAGACTGTAACTACTGGGCAATAATGACCTGCTGCTTGTCATGAAATAAATAGACACATTTTGACAGGATTTTGACGAACTATCCCCAATCCACATTATACCATAGTAAGACTAAAAAAGAAATGCTGCGCATATTACCTACGTTTGATGCAGGTGTCCTAAAAATACTTGAGATATTTGTAGCTGCTGAGACTAATTAACGATTTTCGCAGCCAGGTGACAGAAATGAAACCTTGAAACTCCAACGAGCGGAAAGGTACAAAAGATATTTCTATGGAATTGCGTCCCATGGCTGATCTGCTCTGATCATATGGTCTTACGTAACCCGCTTATCTGGACAAGAAAGAACATACCTTCAGATTCATTGCACGTCTATGTGACAGCACGTTTCTGTTCCGTTCAGAGCTCTCACATGCGGCCTCACGTGGGGCCTCAGGTGCGACCTCGCTGCTGGCTTCCAGGCAGAATAAACTGCAGCAGAGAGAAACGTCAAGGCATTGCTGGCACGCCGAGCAGATTATTTATAGCGATAAGGTGTTCACTAAAAATTGACACAAACTTTGAATAACTACACATCAAAAGCGAAGCAAGCTATTTCGGTGTAACTTACCATAGAGATAAAAGGAACTTTTCTCATCATATCGAGCATAAAATGTTACGGATATAATTAAAACGGTCGCGTAGGAGGTCGCTTTAAATAAGGACCACCAAAAGCCCATTGGCAGACTTTCCCAAAATAGTGCGTCAATAGGAGAGTCTCGCACGTACAAATACCTAATGAAAACTTACAATGTCGAACTTAGTTACATACATACCGCATGGTGGAAAGAAAGTTCTATGTGGGTTTGGGAAAGTGGTGTAATTGTGAAAATATTGACCTGAGGAAGGGTCGGGGCCCCGAAAATGCACGTGGAGCGGCTTTTTGGCACGTCACGGCGCAATGCTGCTGATCAGTAAGGTATCAGCTGTACCAACACGAAGAAGATATAACACACCTGAGGCTAGGCTGAGTAACAAACGGCGTAAATGATTTCTCGAAGCGACTGGGAACAGCAATAGGCAATAGACGTAAATATGCAATGGTCAAGAAATGCCAAAAATTTCATAACAAGGTCGAACTATTTAAGGAATAAAAATTATATTTTTAGTTAAAGGGCGACAATTAGCTAGACAATGGAGTGTTCTGTAGTGATGCTATCGATAACGTAAGAGCTAACGTCCATTTACATGTCGGTATGCAAACTAACGCTGAATGCTATGGTGTACCTATGTGTTATTTCAGAACATATCATCAGTTCGACTTCATTCCTCCAGGCTGGTCCATATAATATGATACTTTCGGAGCCAAATGTATTATTTAGTACTAGAGGTTCATGCAGAACAACATATGTAACCAAAAGGTGATCTTCTGGTCCGACCTCGCTCCAGCACACTAACCAAGGGGCGCCTTACGCACCCCGGCCGATGTAAAAATTCCATTCGTAAATTGTAACGAGGCCAAATAAGCCGTTCGCCACGCCTGAAATTTAACCCTCGCATGTGTGCGGCGTTTTCCAGCTTCTAATGTGTAGGGGGGGGGGGGGGGGTCGGTTGGACCCCCCCTTGCCGTTTGGCCCCTGATCGAGCTAGAGCTTCGCGGAAAAAACGAGCGTGTTGCCCGTGACGAGAGGAAGCCGATGATACCCAATTTTAAGGTCCTAGGTCATTGGTTGACCTTCCAGGTCAGGTCAATGACCCAAAGTCGGGAAAATCGGGACCTAATAATAATAATATAAGAATAACCAGTAACCTCAGAATATAAATCAGAAATAGGAGCCAAAAGGTTATATTTAAAGTTATCGAATATTTCGCTCCTGGAGCTTCGTCAGCGATAATTACCGCTGACGAAGCTCCAGGAGCGAAATATTCGATAACTTTAAATATAACCTTTTGGCTCCTATTTCTGATTTATATTATGAGGTTACTGGTTATTCTTATATTATTATTATTCATCATGAGCCTCAAGCAGAGTTTCAGCTTTTTGAGAAAATCGGGACCTATTAGAAAGACGTAAAGTGTGGCTGCTAAGGGGTTATTCGGGGTGCTGATCACGAATATCGTGTTAGTGTTGATCACAGATGATGTCTTTAAGCATTTAGACCAGGTCGGGTCAGGTCAGGTCAGGTCAACCAGTAGGGGTTGTGACGGGTATTCGTAGTACGTGTCAACCGCCTCTGACAGCTTCGTAACATGTTACGAAGGCATCAAAACTACTTCGTAAATGTTTAAATGGTTGCTAAATTCGAATTCAGCTCCAAAAACTAGCCTAGAAACATGTAAAACTCGAAAAAGTGAACCGAGGTCACCCGAGGTCACCAAAGGTCAGTGACCTGAACTGACCTTCAGGTGACCTTGACACCCACCCTAATGCATGGGAGCAGCATCAAATCACATGTTTGAACGTTTGAAACCACGAAAAGCTTGCAAACGCGCGGCTATTGCGAGCCGACATACGCGGAATCGCGATTCCGGCCAAACATGGTCTCGGAAAAGGGGTCACAGGTCAAAGGTCATTGGGGTCAGGGTCATGAAATTTTCAGGGTAGGTGTAAAATTGATCAATGCGAGGGTACTAAAAGTTTCGTCGCGATCGGCCGCTTTTTACGCGAGTTATTCGCGAAAAACCATGGGGGGGTCCATCCGACCCCCCCTACACATGCGAGGGTTAAGAAATGAGTATGAAATGTGTTTTGCCGAAAGCTATAACGTTTGTTGGTGTCTTTAGATTTCAAAGAAAATATCAACTGGTAGCTCGTTACCGCCATGAATTGGCCAAATTCACGGTCCACTGGTACCAGAGCATGTGAAAACACTTCCAAGCAAATGTCCAAAAAGAGACCTATGGGGATCAGACAAATTTGTTGACGATCTACAGCTTGCAGCAGGTGCAATGGGCTTTACAGCTTTACAATAATGCCTCGGTTGTTTAAATCGGTACATTTTTACCGATGATACAGTCTGCTAAACTTTGTCTCAATTTTTGGTGAACACATATTAGACCAAATAAATCAGTTGATTGGGATTTCATTTGCTGAGAAGCATTAACCAAGCAACTTGTCATTATCAGACCATGAAATTACTTTTATTGTCAATGTCGGTCATATGCTGGACTAAAGTCATAACATAAATTACCTAGCTATAAGATAAGAAGAGTTTATGCACATACTTGGTTGAAATGCAGGAATTCTTAATTTTCAAACAGGGACCGTAATTTTTGCACTGTATATTGAAAACATAGGTACCAGTGATTCTACCAACTATGCGGACGATGACGCTCAGCAATGAAACCACATCAAAATGCATACCTACCTATCGGTTGGCCTCATAGTAAAACGTTATCGGCCTGCACGGCGCACGCACATACACTTTGGTACACAGCATATTGGTGTTACAGGCGGGAATATTTAGTTTCTTATGCATTGACACTATATGCATCATACGATATCTATGTCATCACCGAAGATATGTTGTTGAGTGCTCTCGCGAGGAACATCTTGTTTTAATATTTTAGAATGATTGTTAATGACCTTTTCCTCGAATAATAAAATGCTATGACGAAAGTGATATATAGTTCAGTGAATTTTCGTCCATAGGGCATCATCAGACAAGCAATTAGCAAACATACCCAAATCATATACCTTTTCGACATTTAAACATTTCATTATTCGAGGAAAAGGTTATTAACAATCATCCTATGTCATCACACTCGACCACAACATAAGACACCGTGAAACAGCACAGCGAAATATAACTTCGCTTTTTGCAGCCATAGCGCTACATTTATAAGGGCTGCTACAAAAAGCGCTATTTGAGTTAAGGCAACACAACCCTTCAGCATTTATCATGCGAAGAGTTACCGATACACGTGTAATTTTACTTCACTTACGAAGTAAAAGTTAGTGAACAACCTTACGGAGACCCAGACTGCTTGGCAGAATCTGAATCATGAATAGGGAATGTCTGGTAAGTCAAACTCCCTCGCTTGTCCTTAAGGTGCACATGGATTGGATCACTGGCACAGTTGGTAACGTTCTTTACAAACATTTTCTGCACTTCCTCTATGGACTTTCCACGTGTATGAGGTAAGCACACCTTAGCAAAAACAAACAACAAGAAGTGCATAACAGTGAAAAACCAATAAACACCTGACATATCCACAGCGGCGACGGCGAGCGGGAAGGTGTACACCATGATGAAGTTGATGGTGCCAAAGAAGGTCAGCAGGATCCCTCCGGCCTCGGCGCGGATGGCGTTGGGCAGCAGCTCGGTCAGCAGAAGGTTGGTCAGCGGCGCGATTCCCAGCGACATGGCGCTCACGATCACCAGCACTGAGACCAGCTGCACCCAGGCATAGTCGGCCAGCGCGGCGCTGTAGTGGAAGAAGAAGCCGCTGACGAGGCAGGCCGCGCCGCCAACCACGCCGTTAATCATCAGTGACGTTCTGCGCTCGCTCTTTTGCACGATGTAGCTCATCATGATGGAAGTTATCACTCTGAGGGCGCCCACCAAGATCGACCCGATGTACGGGTTGCTGAAGCCACCAACATCTTTGAAAACTACCGGAGCGAATGACGCTGTGGTAAATCCTCCGGAAAACACAAACAGTACGTACATGCAGAGCATCAGACAGAAGGGCACCAGATAGTGTCTGTGTCTGAGAAGTTGCAGCACCTCGAACAGAGACGCGTCGTGCCGGTGTTCCTCTCCGAGCGACTCCCTGATTTTCTGTATCTGCTGATCGACGTCATAGTCCTTGCCATGGTAGAAACGGAGCGAGCGTTGTGCCTCCTCCACCGGATGCCCTTTTGAGATGAGCCATTTGGCGGAGCGAGGAAGCATGAGCGAGACTAGGAACATTACAACGACGGGCCCGATGCCCACTACTAGACACGTATGTCGCCAGCCAAGCTTCCAGCCACACAAGAAAGTAATGAGCATACCAAAACTTAACATTAGGTTGAAGAACAATGCAAGCACTCCGCGAATGTTTACTGACGAGATTTCACCAATATATGTGATGGTGGGCCCAAAGACAATGCCCACAGCTACATGGTCCAAAAATCGCCTCCCAGAGCCAGCAGCAGCCAGCCGCCGGCCAGGGCCGGTGCGCACAGCTGCACGAGGCGGATGGTGCCCAGCCGCGGGTTGACGTAGCTGGACACCAGACAGCCCAGCGTGTTGCCGATGGCGTAACCGGAGGCCACCCAGGAGATCTGCGAGCGGGTGAGCGGCAGGACACCCTGGTCGGCCGTCATCTGCTCTGTGAACACGCCCGTGAACGCCAGGCTGCCGCCTATGCTGAACCCGGTCATGGAGAGGGACAGCGCAGTCACAACCTGTCGGCAAAACGACACGGCGCTCACTCATCTGAGCCAGGACACAGAGTGATGCATGAGTACTATGATAGAATAATATGACATATACTCAGTGAGTGAGAATAATGTGATTTATGCACGCTGCTACAATGATAAGAAAATGCCTATCACATCTGAAACATCGCGTATAAGACGAGATCAAGCTTGAGTCAGTCGCCAACTTTCGCAACATTCTATACACACGTCCGGGAAGACGTACTCGTAAGCCAGGAGTGACTGTCGAATAGCGCAGCTTTACGGCTAAGCAACACACTGATCAATTTTCACAATGAAACATTTTTGTTATGTAAAAATGGGTAAGCTATGCACATTTAATGACGATGTATGTGTACAGTATAACGTGACACGTGTTACTTCCTCTCTAGACCCGGCAGGCGCCACCCTGACCCGGTCCCACCTGCATCACGAGGCCGCGCCTCGAGTCCTTGCACTGGTCTCCGCACTTGCCCTCCCCACTTCCATCGGCCGCGCTGCTCATGTTTCAGCACCAGCAGCGTCTGTACGCGTCTGCACTGCGTATCTCACTCAGGGCAGCGATTACACAGCACCAACTCTGTCGGTGACAACCTCGTGACTCCCAAGTCAGCCGACGGAGCCGCGTAAACAAATCGGAGCGGCCGCCTAACTAAAATAGTCTGGGGCGGGGGTCGGGCGCGGGGTGCCACCGGGCTCCTCCTCTCCCGAAAGCTGACACCGACTGCTCACACCGCGGTATCGGCCGAGAACGAGGGGCTGGCTGATGTGTGCCAGGTCACACCGTACCCTATTGTTCACAGCGCCTGGGGTAACCAACGGGCTGGGGACGGGGTGCGGAGGCCAATGACAATGCGACAGGGCCCAGCGACAGAAGATCAGAAATCGAGACACGTTTTGAAATTGATAATGGCATCGGGCCAAAAATAGCAACCAAAAAGACTCAGACGTGCCGTGTATATACATATATCATTGGTGGGAATCCAGCTTGGGGTAGTTCCACAGTGTGACACAAGCCACTCACTTCTGATAAAGATTCTGTAAATTAATGGACTACAAATGCAAGTCACAATGCCAGTGGAATTGCACTCCTCTGATAATGACGTTCCATCGATACCATCCATCGGTACCGTCGACGGGTGATCCAGCAGCACCGTCCCGCTAGCAGTACCGGTAGACTAACCCCACCAGCAGCACCAACCCCACCAGCAGCGGACCGACAGACTGACCCCACCAGCAGCACCGTCCCACTAGCAGTACCGGTAGACTGACCCCACCGCAGCACCAACCCCACCAACAGCGGACCGGCGCGATTGACCCCACCAGCAGCACCTTCCCACTAGCAGTACCGGTAGACTGACCCCACCAGCAGCACCAACCCCACCAGCAGCGGACCGGCTCAGCTCCGCAGAATTGGCGCCGGTCCGCGGCGGCCGATCGCACGGTCGGTCAGCCCGCGCTGGCAGCCGCTTCTCTATGGAAATGGCCGGTTTAGAGGCGGCAGGTGGTCGGACACATTGCTCGCGCTGCTCAGCGCGCCACGCCGACGGTTACGGCTGATAAAACGGCCGCCGCGCCCCGGAGGACCTCACACCGATCGTGGACGAGTCGCCTACACGAGACGCGGTAACGCAAGAATGGCGATGGAGTTTGGGAAGGAGCGCAGGGAAAACTGTAATTATAGAAGGACATCGACCGCATTTTACTGTAGCTAAAGGCTGCTCCGTATTTTTCAGAGAGCTACGTAGTACGTACTCCTGGTGAATATGGTAAGCTGGGCACTTTTTTGATGCATTATCTTTCCATCCAGCGTTCCATGCCATAAGCAGCAGTAATTCAGTAGGGACTGGGGGTTAGTTCCACTCTCCAGGTAGGGCAGCGAGGCAGCGGCAGTGTGTTTGCTCTGCGCCGATTGTTGTTTGCACCGGGTCGGCGGTCGACGCGGTAAGGGCTCTCAGCGCCGACCGGACGCCCAGAAATCTCCGGGAGGGCGCGGTGAGGGCGCTCCACCGCCGCGCTGTTGGCCCCAAACAGAGCCGGGGTCGGGACCGTCCGCCTCCTGCTCATTGATCAGCTCATACTGGGAGGTGCATGCCGGTCATTAGTCTCCACGGCTGGCGTGGTAACGACGAGGCGACGGGCGCTCTATAGCTGCCGAACCCCAATGAGCCGGGGGCTGCACACAAATGTAAGGCCATATGTAGCGTGCATATGTCATACCGCGCATGCCTATAGTAATTCGACTGCGCATTGCGCACGTCAGAGGAGCGACGCAGCGCGGTGTCGTGGCGGCTGCGCCTGGGGTTCCGCCACACTGGGTGGCTGCGGCCGCGGTGAAATTGTAACTGCGCTCTTCGATAACTGAGGTAGAACGAATACTCTGTGGTAGCTCTTATTGTATTGTGTATTGCATTGGTTCATCTAAAATGCAACATCACCACACCTACCTTCTTACGGCCATTGTGTTAATGAAAGTTGAAGCACGAATGACCTTTGGTTGACCTTGACACATGAAAGGTCGTTTCCGAATACGATGGATTCGTACCCGCTGATCACGAATCTGGCATATGTTGTCCTCTAAGCCCAGAGGTGCACAAACCTTCCTACTTGCCTACAATGTAGGAGACAGGAAAGAGCCGAAGAGGGTAGCCGCGAGACAGATTTCAGTTTGTGTTTTCTGTACAAAAATGACTATAAAAACAGCTAACTGGTAGCAATTGGTCGGTACAATCAGCTGTCAACGGCATTTGGTCATTACATTTCTTTACGTGTCTTCAAAAACAGTTCCTACAAATCTCCTCCATGAGACACCCACGAGACAGTTCCCATTGGATTAACATTGTGTCTCATGAGACACCGTGTAGGTAAAATGTAGGATGAAAAACTGCGAAAGTGGTGGGCATGTTCCGAAAAACGGCGCACAAATTCTTTGGGCGCCTATCAGTTAAAACAAAACTCCTGTTCGAAAATGGGTTCTGGCAAAGTTTCGTCAGCTGGTTTCCATAGCAACCGCCATTCGTGGGACAAGCTGACGCCATTTGCTAGCGCGTTGCGTGGTAACCAGCTATCGGTGTCAGTTGAATTTGAAAGATAATTGTAACAGTGAACAGCTCGCTTCAGTTGCTGTACTGTGCTGTGGATGTGTGTCTTGTGCAGTGTAAGCAAAGTGTATAAGGACTTTCACATTATATTTTGTGATGGTGTGGTAATAGGTTGTGAGCTCCAAGTGGAGTTAAGGAATTGCCAAAGAAATGAAAACTCTGCATGGGCCGGAAATCTGCAGCCTGCACTTCTATAAACTCTTCATAAGAGGTTCGTGGCAGGGGGCATTTTGGGGAGCGATTATGGAGGTGCTGGTAAGTAGGTAGGTACCCAACCTAATTGGCTTGATGAGAACTGAAACTGAAAGTCAAATGAATTGTGAAATTGCTTTACCTATCCTATCTGATCACTTCTACTTATTTTTTTTTTTAAATTTTCCATTCATTTTGATTCATAAAGAACAACATTGAAAGATGCTAACATGTAGGTAACTACCTACCTAGCTCTAATGTAAATAGGTACCTAATAATTTCCTTCAAAAGAATATATGGCTCTTCAATGTACTGGAGATTTAGTAATTGAAGGCATCTCACTTCATTTTGAACATTACCTAGGTATAACTTCCATAAACTGCATGACAAATTTTTAATTTCCTTGTTGTAACACCAATACTACAAACATTCATCTGGGCACAAGGCTCACAACATCAAATTATTCATGTTTTATAGACAGGTACCTATACAGCAAAAATGCTACAGAGATATGTGCTTATTTTCAACATAGGCTTTGTGTTCAGTTGTGTATATAATAATTTTGTGGGTGGAAAATGTGTCATGAATTGTCTACAGGTCTGTGTAGAATTGTAATTAATATGATTATAGAAAAAGGAATGGTCGGTTAAGTAGTCAACATGTTTACTCAATAACAAGATATGCTGGCATGGAGTTTGCTCATGAGTTTGCTCAAAAACCTTTCAGTTAGTGTGGGAAGCATAGCAATTTGAAGCATATGCTTTTGCTTATAAAACTGATTTGTAATGGGGTTTGTGAAGTTCTCCATAAATTTCACACCTAGCAATGTACCTACCTAATGCATTGCATTACTTCAAAAAGAGGGAGACCATACCTACAAGTTGTCAGGCAGGTAGGCTTTGACATTGATTTCAAGGTTTCAAGGTGATCTGTGCTTTTTGCTTATAACTTGTCCTCATTCTCTGACTAAAGGAGTGGCAATACAATCTGACTTGTTCTATTTTCCTCTTGCCTTGCCATTTTTGACATAATCCTTGCCCAGGCTATATGTTGGTATGATGAAGGTCAATCAGATGACATATTTCAAATATTACAGTCATGATTTCAGTTGAATTTGCCTAACTTTATTTAAGCAATATAAGATTACACATTGCATAGCTATAACAGCAATATTTGAGCCACCACTGGCATAGAAATTAATAGGTTGCAAAACATTACTCAGCAAGAAGAAATCAGTCATTGACAGTGGAGAAAACACATCTAGACTTGACAACAAATTACAATTGATTATTCTTCTACCATTCATGTTGGCATAAGTAATAATTCAAATGGATACTTAGTGCATTTTTCTTAAGATTTTAAGCACATGAGATCCATCCAAAGGCACAGACTCGGAACAAAGGCTGTGTTATAAACAAGGATATTGCACCTTTTTTTGTATTTTAACATGTTGTTATATTCCGACATCCTAAGAAAAATAATATGGTAATCTGCCCTGCTTCATTTGATACGTATCGATGAGTAATTGGATGTTGCGGGAATGCAGTTAGTTTTCCCGGCAGTTGTCTCCAGCAGCCACAAAATGGCCGCTTACTTTCCGTCAAACATTTGCTTTCATATGGCTAAGTACATTAATTTCACTTAGTCTAACTTTGTCTAGCAAATCTCCAGTTTTACTTCGGAAAAACCGGCAGCGTGTTCCACATTGGTGACCCCGCCAGGCGAGGCAGTTCCGTCGGCCGTCGATGTCCTACGGTCATATAACCCCCCAATAAAACTAGCGCGTCTAACGATCGGCAGCATGGATGGTCACACCATCCATGGCAGGGACCGACCTCACAGAGCCACGCAGAAAACAGGAATATCGGATTTATCTGCCTCTAAACTGTAATGTATGAATGCGTCGTGAAAATTTTACAAGACAGCTGAGGTTTGCTAAGCAAGAAAAAATAGACCAGGATCTGTATTAGCGAAGAGATTAGCGATGCAGGTGAAATGTGTATAGATTGCAGTATACCTAGATGTAGTCAGCGATGGATTATAAAAGGATTTAAAGCCGCTTCTTAAAGCCTACAGTCAAAACGTTTTCTGAACGTTTGTGGTCCTCAATATGATAAATATTCCATAGCAATTTAATGGGCTTCGTCCCATTAGCAAATATTGCAAAATCGTCCTCAAATAATGTTTTCTTACCTAAATGAAGTAATGTTGATCCAGGAAAAAACTTGTTACACACTCCTTAAAGTTTCATATTCCTAAACAGAAACACTGATGTGCACCGTACACTGCAGCGTTACGTCACTTCACCTTCAGCCCGCCAAGTAGTAACTGCCCCACTAAACGGGAGAGGGACGCTATGGGACGGCAGATGGACGCCCGTCTGGTCCATGTGGAACTGAACCCTCATTGGATGAGAGGAATTAATTGAGCGTCCCGGTGGTTTTATGAGGGTAGTTCTTGACTTTCCAGTGTTTCCTGATCCTGACACAGTCAACAACCAGACCGCCTCACTCTAGTCTATTTATACACCACCAGTGTCCAGTATGCATTTCAGGTGGAGGTGTACCAAGTCCTGCCTCGCACTTTGCCCAAATCAGCGCATACTGTATGTCTGTCGGCTTCTTAAAAAATGACGATAAATCTGCGGATAGCTTCAGAAATAAAAACACTTCAGGAATAGCGTTTACGTCCTGCAAATATTAATCACTGTAATGTAAATAACCAGCTTTACTTGAAAGTATAGATATGTTGGGATATACCTAAGGATGATCGGTGAGACAAACCGGAGCCATCGGAGACCGTGTAGGAGACAGGCTGGGCTATTTGTGCACCTCTGTCTAAGCCTTCATTTAGAGCCTCTGGATGGCATCATTGTCTTATGTATTGACTTGGATCAGTGAAATAGCCTCTGGCAAGGATACTCTTCTGTGACCTTGACTTTTGAGCAGCCTTGTATCGTAAGATAAACCACAAATAGGGACCTGATAAGCCTCAAAACATTTCAAAACATCTTGAAAGCTAGCTGCACGCCAGATGTACGAAAAGTGCAAAGTTTGAGGTCAATTTTGAGCATGACCCTGACCTTGACTTTTGATGTTGAGCCCATTTCGGAATCCTCAGAATCTCGTTTTTCGTTTGACACCCAATTTTGCCGGTTTTATGCGTCCTGCCGTCCTCTAGAACGCTTACTTTGAGATCACTACACATGTGCCGGTTTTTGCCTTTGACCTTGCCCTCTGACCTTGAAAATTGACCTAAGGTGAAAAATTTTGGGGGCCTTAGAATTGTATTGTATTGTATTGTATTGTATTAAACATCCGTAGAGCATCCGCGATAACCGAGGCTAAATTGTTCAGTGTCAAACGCATGCATAAAACCGAACGAGTGGGGAGGTAGAACAAGCATTCAAAACATGCACACGAGCATCCGCGCTTAGCCCATCACATCGTATGGTATGGTATGGTACAATACCCAATCGTATCGTATGGTATCGCCTTTGTTTGCGTAGCTCCCTTATTTACGGAGTTAGACGGGGGGGGGGGGAACGCCCCCCCGGGCTGCAGTGGTTGGAATTACTCCCCAGGCCCGGCCGGGTTCAGGGGGGCGTTTTTGACCTATTCCCCCTAGTCTTGCTGTGGCACTTCTGAATATTATTAATGTAATTATTAGGTATGTTATTAATAACCTTATGCTCATAAGTAATTATATTCAAAAGAAAAATACAGGTTAACCCTAGAACGCCTAGGGGGGGGGTTGTATCAACCCCCCTGAGGTTTTTTTTCGAAGTGCACGCTAAACGGCTTGTCGTAGCGGGCTGAAATTTTCAATACCCTCTGGGGCAACCTTTGCGCATCTTTTGCCGAAAAAAAATTGATCGGGTCATGTCAGGTCACGGAGTTATGACGTCATAAGAGGTACAGCCTCCGGCCGACAGTTACCAAACGTGTGCGCCGAATCCCTAGGTTTTCTGCCGGTGATACCCACATTGTTTGATGGATCATGATGAAACTTCCCATGCATGTTGGGGCAAGCATTGGCTATCGTGTGGTGCAAGAAAATTGACCGGGTCAGGTCAGGTCACGGAGTTATGACGTCATAAGAGGTACAGCCTCCGGCCGGATTTTCACGAAGTGTGTACCGAGTCCCGAGGTTTCCTGCTGATGCTATCCACATTGCAGTGGATATCCACTATCTTTTCTGAGTCGTTACCTACAGTATTTATAGCGGAGCAGTGGTCAACAGCCGACGAATCGGGACAAACACCGGAGGGTGATGTGACACCATATCACTCATCAGCAATAGGCCTCTTACTTTTATAGGGTAAATACACCAAAAACACCATATATGATGCAGAATTGAGTGGGGAATACGTTGTTGAAGGTTTGAAGTTAATATCTCTCACCGTTTTGCCGCAATCGTTGCGCAAAGTTGAAAAAGTTTGATTTTTCGGAAAATTTGACCTTTGACCGGTCATAAGTAGGTCAAATGTTGACCTAGGACCAAAAAATATACCACCAATCGCGAGATCTCGTTCAGAGCAATCCGTTGGTTTTTTTTCCGCTAAGCTCTACGACCTTCCGTTTCGAAACGCCAGGGGGGGGGTCGTAACAACTCCCCCCCCTGGTCGTTCGTGTTATGAGAAATGGCCTGGTCGTGCGAGGGTTAATATATTTCGACTTGCACCTTCATCAGAATGCCTAATATGTAGTTTCCTGCATTCTGTCTAAACAGACACAGACCTTCGCACCCCGTAATCGTTCTCTCGGTAGGTATAAGAATATGTGCCACAAAAATGATCGCAAACCAACTACCTAGCATTGTTCTTGATATTCGAGAGTTTTAGGACGCATCGGCGATAAAGGCCATTTGGATGGTATTCAAGGGAAATGGGTAACCCTCTTAGCCAGATGTTTTGGCTTGCCAGCGGCTCATTCCTAAATCCCGAGAGTTACACATATGTCGAGCCCTCGGCCCACTTGTGATTTTTCATCACCGATGATACCTATCTACCTACATTCAGGAATGCCACAAGTGTTACAGTTGACATTCTTGAAATTCTGGCAATAATGAGCTGTCAATGATAAGTTTTTAGGTCACCAACGCGAATTCACGATTCCATTCGCTGTGAGTTTCTTATGTTGAAATGCCACCTTTTTAAATAGGCAGTACCTACTTAATCGTTACCTATATAGGTATAGAGTTTAACGATTTTCCAGCCCAAACACCAGGCACATGATGCCAATTCATGCCGTGTGATACCGTTATATACTGCATTAACGTATGAATTTATCGATGATTTATGTTAATGCAACGAGTGTTGAAAGAATTTGCGGGAGGATTTGCCTTATACAAATAAATGCAGCACACGTTTAGCTGCAGGGGTTAGTGAGGGTGACACAGATTGCTGCAGCGCAGGTGCAAACTCCCCTATGCCGAGTAACCAATGACACCATGAAAGTTGACCGAATTTTCGAGCAGCTAACGGTAGGACGGTTGCACACGGGCAGTGACCTGGGGCGGAACACCGACCCCCCGTGCCGGAGGCCACCGAGTGACTGCACGGCGGTGACCTGCCCCCAGGCGGCGGACGACACAGATGCTGCACCGATATGGCCCGTAGGGAGCGCCGTGGGTGGCGCACACTGCCCCCATGACCCGGTCGCTATGCCGGCGGCACATTGCCTTAAATAGCAGACTGGGCTGCAAATCGGCAGTCATCCAAAGCCAGAGGTCCGGCCATGACACCAGGAAGCTGCTCACTGCCGGCGCTGGCGCTCTGTGCGGCACTGCTGCTCGTCGGCACGGAAGGACACGTTCGAGGGATCGACTCATCCGACACCGGCGGCCAGCAGGGAGGTACAGAGTCGATGATCAACGCCAAGAGCCTGATGACGCTCATTAGAATGCTGGTCACCAGGAACGACGTTGGAGCCGATGTAGAAGGTCAGTCGAAAGGAATGCTGTCAAGAATCCCAAAGGAAATGACTTCATTCTGGTCAGATCGCGCCGCCATCAAGCGCAGCGACGACAAAACAGAACAGGATTTGTATCCACTAGCGCCGACAGTCCAAAAACGCACGCAAGGCTCCGATCAATACACGGATGAAAATGGTGAGCATCTAAGCCCAACCGACTTCTCCAACGCCGCAAAAATATCCAACGAAATTGACGAACGCCCTGAGGGGGCAGCAGATCCGACAGAAAACCATGATATAAAAGATGCCGACTTTTTTGAAGGAGATATCGTGCATGGTCATCCTGAGAGGCAGGGTCGCAATATGATCAGGGACGATGACCAAAAGTGGCTGCGCGGTGAAATTCCGTACGTTATCGCCTCAGGATTTAACACTGACGAGCGAGCCACGATTGCCAAGGCCGTGCTCGAGTTTGAGCGCAACACATGTATCCGTGTGCGGCCGCTGGGTCCGACCGACGACGCCAGCCAGGGCTACGTGCGCATCATCAAGGGCGATGGGTGCTACAGCTCCGTGGGGCGCCAGGTCTCCAGTCCCGGGCAGGAGCTTTCGCTGGGAAACGGCTGCCTCTTCCCAGGCATTGTCGTGCACGAGTTTATGCATGCCATCGGTTTCTGGCACGAGCAGAGCCGTCCCGACCGCGACAGCCACGTGATGATCCACTACGACAACATCAAGTACGGCAAAGACTACAACTTCAAGAAGTACACCACGAATGAAGTGCAGCTGAAGGGCACCCCCTACGACGTCGGATCCATCATGCACTATGGGCCTTATGCGTTCGCTAGAAACCGTAACCAGCCGACTATATCGGCACTGAAGCAGACCTCTGTGACGATGGGACAGCGGGAGGGACTCTCCCACTACGACATCCAAAAAATAAACACACTCTACGGGTGCAAGGACGTGACCAAACCTCCGCCGCCGATAACCAAACCAGAAAAATGCACCGATAGAAACATGTACTGCAAGGACTGGGCAGCTGCCGGGGAGTGTGGCAAGAACCCTCTCTACATGAACATTTACTGCGCCAAATCTTGCGATAAGTGCTCCGACAAGTCCTGTGAAGATCTCAATGAACTCTGTCCGAAGTGGGCGGAGACCGGCGAATGCGCCGCCACGCCATCCTACATGACACTCTACTGCAAGAAGTCCTGTGACCTGTGCGACGGAAACGGAGGCATGGTCTGCAACAACGTCAACGGCTACTGCGAGGCCTGGGCTGAGATGGGTGAGTGCGACAAGAACCCCGACTACATGCACGGCAGCTGCCGGAAGGCGTGTAAGCTCTGCTAAGGTTACAGGAGGGCAAACGATACACATCAGGTCTTTTTGATGTGTGCTGTAGACTTGCTCAGACATATATAGATCTGCATGTCTACATCTGAGCACTTACACTAGGAGAGCTCATAGATGCGCTATCTGTGGCGTTAACTACCAATTGGGTATTGTTATTGTTCTTGTGTTATTGTAAGAATTGTTCTTGTTCTTGTTCTTGTGATGGGTTTGGGAAGTAGGTGGGTACTAAGCTGTTTTGGTGAGAGTTGCTGCTTTATAGATGAATGAATGCCTTTCTTGTTTGAGAAGGCAGACTTGAGACTGATTTGGCATTTTGACTATACCTATACATTGTTGTGTTGAGTAAGTCGTTTTGTGGAAAGGCGCTTTGCTCGAGGCCGACGGTATTGCTAATTGTAATTGCTATTAGCTATACCGTCAATACCGTAAGCAGTGACTTTACTTCAAACTTAAGCTGGTCTGCCTTACCCCACTGGCCACCTTCCACTATATTTGCAATGCAAGCAGGGGTGTAGGATCGCAAAATAGGTTGGGGGGGGGGGGGGGCTGAACCCCGGACGCCGGTGGGGCGGCGACGAAAGGTGCTGAGCGGGGGGGGGGGAACAGCAGTGGAAAAGGTGTTGACCGGGGGGGAGGGAGCGTGGACCATGGTGGTGAAAAGCGGGTCTATGACTTGAGTCACCTTGAGTGATATGACTTTTTCCCCCTGGATCCAAGTTCAGGCTTATAAAATAAGGCGTAGGTATTTATATTCCGGCTCAACGTTTTGCAACCACATTTATGCAGTGTATGTTCCCGCTCTTTTCAAATGCAAAGTGATGCCACTAAAACGGTATATGTATGCTCTTCTTATACTTAAGAGGCTGATGAGAGATTCAATTTCTTGATTGATTCAGTATTTAGATTCCTATCCCCTAGTTTGGCAAACTGTTTCAGGGGTTCCTTGGAGGTACCCCTGCACTTTCCTGAAATCTAGGTGCTCATTTTTCACCAATCACCCACTTCATTTCGGAAGGGTCAAGTTTTTGTGTAAAGATTGTAGACTGTTTAATGGCTCCCTTTTGGCTGTTTCAGGGACCTCCTCGACTACTTCTAGGGCCACGATAGCGGTATCGACAAATTAGGCGGATTGTGATCGGTAAAACAGGACAGTGACAGAACAATTTATGTTGTAGTATTTCGCAAAACCCCCACATTCTGCATAGCATTCGAAGCATAATTTTGTTTTTAAAGTTGTAGGTCGTGTAGCCACACGAATACTCTCAAAATGCACGAAACAATTGCAGGCACGTACCTAGGATTTGGCCAAGGGGGGGGGGGCGGAGGATCCCGGGGGCCTCCTCTCTACAGGGCGCCTCCTCTCTACAGAGGGCAAGGGAGGATCTAGGCGAACGTTTTTGTGGGGGGGGGGGGTTACAGGTCGGCCGACATGCCGGGTCTGATGGATGAATTCTGACGACCGGGGGAGGGGGAGCGAGTATGTCGAGATCAAAAGGCATTTGGTATTCGCCGCTTCTAAGATGAAGCTTTATCGTTATAAGTCACTCGGCTCAGTAGTTTAAGTTAAATCCACCTATACAAGTGCGTCGCCACGGATTTCTTACTTGGGGGGGGGGGGGCGTATCAACCGACTTAAAAACCCAGAAGTTGATATTGTAACCGCACTTTTAGCCTAATGCATTAGTAGCATACAGTAGCGATCTCTCTTATTGACCTGTTAACGAACCGGCGGCGCGAAGCGCTGCGCAAATTTGCACACAAAAAAAAAAACGTTTGTCAAAACACAGCTCCAAAACACAAATTTTACGACCCTTTTAGTATGCTAGTACAAGCCGGAGTTTCTTAACAGTATAGGTAGTCGACTACAGAATGATGTTCCACTTTTCACGGGCAAATATTTGCCTGGAGTGGTAGGCTGTGCCGCATCACACGGGCTGAGTTCACAAATTATAACTTTGTCCTAATGCTCACAATCGACAGGCGTTTAATTGCGTGATAAACGGCACAACTAGCGCTCCAGTCAACTGATAGCTTCTGAGGAGTGGAACATCATTCTGTAGTCGACTATACACTTAAGGGAATTTTGATTCAATTTGACACGGTTGGTGTTATTACAGTTACCTTTCTTATTCATTGGTGTATGAATCGGAGGCGCGGAGCGCCGAGAAAATTTGCAAAAGCATTTGTTAAAACACTGCTCCAAATCACAAATTTTACAACTCTTTTAGTATGGTAGTACAAGCCGGAGTTCCTTCACACTCCACAGTACACATATGAATTCCGATTCAATTTGACACGGTTGGTTTGGTTGGTGTAATTACAGTCACGGTCTAGTATTGACTTGACCTACCTGTACGTACACAAATTTGCAAAAAAAAAAAATCAAAACACAGCCGGACCTCCTCTCTAGAGAGGACCACCTCTCTACTGTGGGCCTCCTCTTTTCACAGGGCCTATCAACTACAGAAGGCCTCCTCTCTACAGAGGACTTCCTTTCTACTGAGGGTTTATCTCTTTCAGAGGGCACCCTTTCTTCAGAGGACCTCCTCTCTAGTCTCTACAGGGGACCTCCTCTCTACAGAGGACCTCATCTCTGCAAAGGGCCTCCGGCCTCCTCTCTACTGAGGGAGTCCTCTCTACAGACGGCATCCTCTCTTCAGAGGGCCTCCTCTCTACAGCGGGCCTCCTCTCTTCAGAGGGCCTTCTGCTTTCAGGCGGTCTCCTTTCTACAGAGGGCCTCCTCTCTACACAGGGCCTTCTTTCTACAGATGGTCTCTTCTCTACAGAGGGCCTCCTTTCTACAGAGGGCCTCCTCTCTAAAGGGGCCTCCTCTCTACAGAGGGGCCTCCTCTTACAGAGGGCCTCCTCTCTACTGAGGAGTCAGAGGGGCCCTAGCGGTCAGACACAAACACTAGCAGTTATTCACAGGAGGCCCCAGGAAGTAAGAAGGACCCTAGCTGTCAGGCTGGTCAGAGGTCCTGAATATCCTGACGTGATTTTTGGTATTCCCTTGAATTTCTTTCGCCTCCGACGTGATTTTGGTCCCCGTGGCCTTCGGCCTACGGGGGCCTCCTGAAAACTCCGAGGGGGGGGGGGCACCCCGTCCATCTTGGGTACGTCCCTGAACAATCGTCCTCATCGTTCGTCCTACCGTCCGAGTTCCACCCACATGGCCGGCTTGCACCCACCCCTAAACAAACGAAACGAAGCCGTCAAGTGTCGTGCCTTTGTTTTGTTGTGTTTTTCTGCTTTCTGCGCCGCTTTAGCGTGCGTTCGGCATCCGGAAAATATCGTTTGGATATTCTCTGCCGGAAAATTATTGGTGAGTGCCTATCTTCAACATGTTTCGTTATCGCGATACCGAACGTAATCCCCGATAATTATCGCTGATCCCGGATAATTTTCCCTGATTATCCGGATGCCGAACGCACGCATAGTAACATGGCAAAGTTTTGTGCTGTATCGTCAGCTGATAATGTCTGCGATGGCGTCAAATTCCGTAAAAAGGATTTGGCTTTCTTCTGAAGGCGAGCCATAAGAGATATCTTGGAAAAAAAGATGGAAAAAACAGTTAAAAGTTAGTGAATGTGCAAATTTCTTTCACCAAATCCTTTTAAGATAATGCCATTTTATTTTTATTCATTATGACGTTATCATTTTAAAAATTTGACATAATCATAAACATAATCAGCTGACGATATTTCACCGGCCTTGATTTCACCTCTACATATTTTACTAGTCTTGTTACAAAAACGGTGTGACAACGTTCGGGAGGTGAGATCTATATGTTACAGACCGTATGAAAACCCAGTCCGTTTGCAAACGGCCTAGCCCAGTCAGGCCGTTTGAAAACGGCCTGAAAAAGCCGGCTGTTTGCAAACCGCCTGAAATATCAGACCGTATGAAAACGGCCTAGGCAGTTTGAAACGGCCTAGACAGTTTGAAAACGGTCTAGTCAGTTTTCAAACGGCCTGGCGAAGTACAACAGCCTCTGAAGATTGAGCTTAATGGATCCAGGTTGATCGATGATCAGGTTGCATCCGTGTGAATGCTTGCGCATTCCATGCCGAATGACTCGTCTACATACGTCGAACATTTTCTTATTGTGCTGATGCTCGGCCCGGCCGTTTTTCGACAATATTACTAATTATACAAGTTCACGATCCGCCTGTGTACGGCCATCCAGTTGATGGAGCCTGGTGAAGCCACTAGGTACTGGTGAGGTCTGGTGAAACTTATCACTACAAGACTCACCGATTATTTTGCGGCATAAAACGCCGGAGCGCGCAATGGACATCAGAGTTCACATCAGTGGCGCGGGAACCGGGGGGAGGGGGCTAGCGGGGGCTGAGCCCCTCCAACTTTTCGGCTGGGGGGGCTCGTAATGTATTTGAGCCCCCCCCCCCCAAGCTGGAGGAATCGAAATCGGAAATCTACCAACATAATTTCATAGATTCATACATAGGCGCGGGAACCGGGGAATGGGGCAGTGGGGGAAGCTTGCTCCTGCACAGCTTTGGGACCGTGGATGCGGTGCCCCACAATTTTTCATGAGGTTAGGAACCGTTGGAGAAGCTTGTCCTCCCCAAATTAGGGGTTGTGGGTCATACAGGAAGAAAGCTTGTAAGTGAAAAATCCACCTCTTTCACTGGCTCGGCAATTCATTTGGCAGATTAAAACCTTTATTCCAGGTTGCCAAAACGGTAGTTTCTTCACTCAGTTGAGACGGAATATCTTTTTTGCAAATATTTTCGTTTTTTTTTGTTCAAAAGGCCAAGGTCTGAAAAATAAGTGGCCTAAAACCGATGAGAAAGCCAGAATTGGGGGTACCCTAGGTTGATCTCTATTATAGTTCACCCCCCCCCCCCCCCCAGTCTGGAAGAAGTTCCCGCGCCACTGGTTCACATTAGAGTTCTCACTGCGCCCGGTCCAAGGCCCTATATACCGCCCGGTCGACCGCCGGCGGCTGGCCGGTGGCGTACGCCGGCAATACTTGA